GGGTTAGACAATGGAGGGCTCTCCTGGTTTCCTGGGCTGGGGAGTTTGAACTTCATCCTGAAAGCGCTTAAGAGCTCCTAAAGTTTTTGAAGCATAGTAAAGGGTGAGGTGCTAGTCATGATATGATTTCCACTTTAGAAAAGACCCTTACCTATTGGATGAAAAATTGATTGAAGAAGTGGGGCAGAAGTGGAATTAAAAAGACCAATTTGAGGTGCCTATGAGATTTCCAAACAGACAAGAGATGATGGTTGCATGGTTTGAACTAAGGTTTAGACAGTAGAGATAAAAAGAAGTGGATAGATTCATGATATATTTTGAAGATAGATCTGATGGGATTTCATAATTAATTATATGTCAACAATAGGTAAGGAATCCAGGTGACTAACTTGAGTTATTAGATGGGTGATGGCCCTATTGAGATAGGGGACATTGGATGAGGAATACTTTGAGGGTGGGGAGATAAGAGGGTAGATGCTTTCAGCTTTACAAATGTTTAATTTAAGGTGTCATTAAAACATTCAGGTGGGGGCATTCCAAATGCAACTGACTGTACATAAATAGAGTTCAGGAGAGAGATCTGTGGCAGAGGTACAAATTTAGGAGTGACTGGCATAGAGACGGAGTGGATGAGATCACCCATGGAGAATGTTAAGAATAAAAACAGTAGTCTAGGCCGGGCGCGGTGGCTCATGTCTGTAATCCTAGCACTTTGGGAGGCCGAGGCGGGCGGATTGCTCAAGGTCAGGAGTTCGAAACCAGCCTGAGCGAGACCCCGTCTCTACCAAAAATAGAAAGAAATTAATTGACCAACTAAAAAATATATATACAAAAAACTAGCCGGGCATGGTGGCACATGCCTGTAGTCCCAGCTACTCGGGAGGCTGAGGCAGGAGGATCGCTTGAGCCCAGGAGATTGAGGTTGCTGTGAGCGAGGCTGACGCCATGGCACTCACTCTAGCCTGGGCAACAAAGTGAGACTCTGTCTCAAAAAAAAAAAACAAAAAACAACAAAAAAAAAACAGTAGTCTATAAGTCTAGGTGAAACCATAAGAGAGCAGGAATAGTCAGATTTAAACAGTGGGCAGAAGAAAAGGAACTTATAAAGCAGACCTAGAAGACTCATTTTGAAAGGTGAGAAAAACAGAGTGGTGTTACAGAAAACAAGGAAGAAGATAGTTTTAGGAAGGAGAAGGACAAGGTGAGATGACAAATATGACCATTGGATTTTGAAACAAGGAAATATCGGATAACTTTGGTGAGAATATTTTCTGTCAAGAGCTAATGACAGAAGCCAGATTGGAGAGGGCCAAGCAGTGAGTGGAAGGGTGAAGAAGTGGAGACATTAATATTGATGGCTGTTTAAGAATCATGGCTGCAAAGAGAATGATCAAGATAAGCTAATAGCTGCACAAGGAGGAGGTAGGGTAGGGAGCTCAAAAGGAATGGTAAATATTTGAAGTAGTCATCAGGAGGATGCTTCCCGGGGGAAGAAGGATTGCCAAGCAGCACTGAAGGCCTCATTGAGCTGCCCAGTCGCTATCAGGATAGGTACAACTGTGCCCAGGTTAGCAATAAGAAAACCAATGCAGCGAGAAGACTTGTTCAGTGTCACAGCTGATAAGTGACAGAGCTGAGATTCAAACTAGATCTCCTGCCTTACCTGTCATCAAATGTTTATTGGCTCCTGCTCTGCACTGTTTTGCATTGGCTTTGGCATTGTCATATCCAATGCTGATGAATGCTATTAACAACCATATGCCCAATGCTGAGGAGGCACAATAGAAGTTTAATATAAGTTTTTCAACCTCAAATTGTTTAGAATTTGATTAAAGAGACAAGGTATTCAACAAAGGTCTTGTGCCTTGCACAGTGCTCTACCCAAAGTAGGAGTTCAAAAAATGTCTTCTTGGGGCTGGGTGCAGTGGCTCATGCCTGTAATCCTAGCACTCTGGGAGGCTGAGGCAGGAGGATCTTTTGAGGTCAGCAGTTCGAGAACAACCTGAACAAGAGCGAGATCCCATCTCTACTAAAAATAGAAAGAAATTAGCTGGACAACTAAAAATATATATAGAAAAAATTAGCCAGGCATGGTGGCACACACCTATAGTCCCAGGTACTCAGGAGGCTGAGGCAGGAGGATCGCTTGAGCCCAGGAGTTTGAGGTTGCTGTGAGCTAGGCTGATACCATGGCACTCTAGCCCGGGCGACAGAGTGAGACTCTGTCTCAAAAAAAAAAAAAATCTTCTTAATGAATGAATAAAAGTGGTAAAGAGGTTTTGAGGGGCTCTATATGACTAGCAGATAAGGACTTTTTAAATGAGTCAATGACATTTCAGTGTAAGAGTCATTGAAGTGCCACCCAGTATATATAATGGTGTAACTCTTCTTGCACTGGCACACACATTTATTCATTCTCTCTCTCTGTCTCTCTCTCTCTCTCTCTCTTTTTCTCTCTCTCTCTCTCTCGCTCTCTCCCTTCTTCCTCTGATCCCCTGTCCCTCTTTCAATCTTCTTTCACCCAACCAGTGTTCATTGCACCCACCAGGTAGGTTTTGCCCCTTCCTTCCTCCCCTCTCCACCCTGCTTGATTTCCACTGAGTTTTACTTCCCTCTGTGCATATGTGTGCTCATCAGTTCATTCCAATTTAATAGAACATATGGTGCTCATTTCTCCACTCTTGAAATACTTCACTTAGGAGAATGGTCTCTAGTTTCTTTGCCCTTTTATTCATCCATTAAGAAGACATTTTTTGAACTCCTGCTCTGGGTAGAGCACTGTGCAAGGCACATGAGATACAGAGATAAATAAGATATACTACCTGCACTCTTGTAGCTCACAGACCAATGGGGCAGAATAAGGGTTTAAACAGGAAATTGAAATATAGTGCAAAAATTACTCTCTCTACCTCAGTTTCCTCATCTCTACAATAAGGATTATTAGTACCTACCACAAAAAACTTGTTGTGATGATTAAATGAATTAAAATATGTAAAGTGCTTATAATGGTCACATAAGAAACACTATATGTGTTACTATTATTGTTGTTATTAATACTGTGATGGAAGTAAATAAACACGAGATACTGGAAGAACATAGAGGAGGAGCACTTGACCCAGGCTAGAATAAAAGACATCTGAGCTGAGTCCTAAAGAATGAGAAAGCACTAAACAAAGGAAGAACAATGCAGGTCATTCCGCAAAGAACAATCTGTGCTCACATTTGGGAGCAAAAGACCACATGACATGACTGAAGAACCGAAAATAAATTAGTTCAGCGAGAATATAGAGTACAAGGAGGGAATGGCAAGAGACTAAGCTCGAGAGGTCATGGAGTACAGGCAAGTTTGGACTTTATCCTTTAGCTGAAGAGAAGCCATTGGAATGTTTTATGTACAGTGGTGACTTGATCAGATTAATGTGTTGAAAGATTACCTTGATGACAGTGTGGAGGAGGCAAGATTAGAAGTAAGACCAGTTAGGAAGCTGTTGCTATAGTTCAGGTGAGAGAGAAAGATGAAACCTTGAACTAGGGAAGTAGCAGTGGAGACGGAGAGCCATGGATTCAAGAAAGACTCAACAGGTAGAATTGGTGGGACACAGTGATTGTAGGATGTGGGCATAAGTGCAAGAAAGGTGTCAAGGATCACTTCCTGGATTTTGGTCCAGCACAAGGGGCATCATTCAGTGACCGCAGGAAACCCAAGGAAGAATCGTTTGGGGAGAGGTGCAATGGGCGAGGTGATGGGTAAGTATTCTTTGGACATGTCAAATCCAAGGTGCCTATGAGATTTCCATGTGGACATTTTGACTAAGTGATTGCTCTGCCAGTCTTGGAAGCTTAGGAAGGTGTATGCTGGAAATTCAGATTTGGAAGAGCCAGCGGATAGATGGGTAGTAGATTAGGTAATGGGGGAAAATGAGTTTGCTAAGGGACAGAATGTTGATTGAGAGAAGGATGGAATTCTGAGGAATACTCACATGTAAGAGATGAGTAGGGAAAGAGAAATCTTGAAGAAGACTAAAATGGAATTGCCAGATTGCAGTGGGTTGAAAAATTAGTGGGTTGGAGGGTCTTGTAGAGGATGGGGACAAGGGTGTGCCCTTGACCCTTAGTGTCCTGAACCTTGGCAAGAGTGGGGGCTCCCAGAACATTGCAAAATTCTGTACAGCTCTGAGATTCCAAAAGATTGGCTCAGATGCCTGCCTCATACAAAGCCCTCTATTCTAGAGCAGCCTCCCTTTCTCCTGCCTGCCCTAGTGCCCCTTATACATGGCTCAGGGAATTTCAGGGCTCCCTCCAGGCCCTGGAACAACCTTTTTGCTCTGGAGTACTCCCTCATCATTTGAGAGGTTGACGATGGATGGGGGCATCCATTAAGAGACCGGATAGGAAATGTCTGGGTGTGTTATACATGCAGGAGGTCTTAGGCTAGCCTGCATAGGGGAATTTGGGCAGGGCTGGGAGGAGCTGAACTCTCAGAGTGTGAACAGAATGCTTTTTTACCCACCTACTCCAGTGTGCCCTGGAGTAGATTTTCATCCTGGGCACTACTCTCTAGCCCCTTGGAGATTCAAGAGGCCTCTAACAAGCTGGAGTCCAAGGCTATATTCTAGGGCCTGTTCCTCCTGATCCAGTCCCCTGGAGTTTGGCCTCAGTCTGCAATTGAGGGGCCCTGTGGCACTGTTCCTTGGCAACGTGTTACGCGGAAGGCCTTAGACACTAGCAGTTGAGTTAACACAGCCACCACAACCGCCACTGCCATCACCACCTTCCTGGAAAGTAGCCACCTGTCTAGCCCTTGGCTTTGTCTAGCTGCCAACATAAGGCATGTGCCTACGCAGGAGGCGATGACATTTTGGCTCCACTTTCAAAGTTTTTTTTCCCCCTTTCTCGTGTGTTATTTCTAAAGATAACAAAGGTCAAAAGGCATCCAGCATTTTCTGGTTTCTCATAAGCTTCTGGTCAATATTTAATCTGGTTTATGGATTTTTTTTTAGGTCTTCTAGATGCCTTCTTGAGCCTGCTTGTGGCCACCCACAGACACTTGTAAGGAGGAGAGAAGTCAGCTTGGCAGAATTACTCTGAAATGAGGGATTAGAAGCCGGGATCTGTGGAGCAAGAACTGCAGCCAGAAGAAGGAGCGGGCCCTGAAGACGCTTCTACTGAGAGGTCTGCCATGGCCTCTCTTGGCCTTCAACTTGTCGGCTACATCCTAGGCCTTCTGGGGCTGTTGGGCACACTGGTTGCCATGTTGCTCCCCAGTTGGCGAACGAGTTCTTACGTTGGTGCCAGCATTGTGACGGCAGTCGGCTTTTCCAAGGGCCTCTGGATGGAGTGTGCCACCCACAGCACAGGCATCACCCAGTGTGACATCTACAGCACCCTTCTAGGCCTGCCCGCTGACATCCAGGCTGCCCAGGCCATGATGGTGACATCCAGTGCAATCTCCTCGCTGGCCTGCATTATCTCTGTGGTGGGCATGAGGTGCACAGTCTTCTGCCAGGAATCCAGGGCCAAAGACAGAGTGGCGGTAGTAGGCGGAGTCTTCTTCATCCTTGGAGGTCTCCTGGGCTTCATTCCTGTTGCCTGGAATCTTCATGGGATCCTGCGGGACTTCTACTCACCACTGGTGCCTGACAGCATGAAATTTGAGATCGGAGAAGCTCTTTACTTGGGCATTATTTCTTCCCTGTTCTCCTTGGTGGCTGGAATCATCCTCTGCTTTTCCTGTCCATCCCAGAGAAATCGCTCCAACTACTACGATGCCTACCAAGCCCAGCCTCTTGCCACTAGGAGCTCTCCCAGGCCTGGTCAGCCTCCCAAAGCCAAGAGTGAATTCAACTCCTACAGTCTGACCGGGTATGTGTGAAGAACCAGGGGCCAGAGCTGGGGGTGGCTGGGGCTGTGGAAACCAGTGGACAGGCCCCTGGGGCCACAGGTGAGGGACACGGCCACTGGATCATGTCAGAAAGTGCTGCTGAGGATAGACTGACTTTGGCCACTGGATTGAGCAAAGGCAGAAATGGGAGCTAGTGTGACAGCATGCAGGTTGAATTGCCTGCAGGATGCTCACCAAGCCAGCCTTTCTGTTTCCTTCACCTTGCTCTCCCCCTGCCCTGAGTCCCCAACCCTAAACTTGAAACCAGAGCCCCTACCTTTAGCCAGGCCCCAGAGGCTCCCTTCTGCCCTTTGGTTTACCTGGGAAACCATCCCCAAACCCACTAATCATCCCGGGGACTTACTCTCTTTGATCAAAGAAAGACCCTCTCCCTCTGGCTGAGGTTGCTCTTAGCTTGTTGCTGGGGGATGGGGGGGAGAAGTGGTGGCTTTTATGGGCATGGCTCGAACCTCCTTCTCAAGCCTCCCTCCAAAGAAACTGATTGGTCAGTAATGGGCTGTAGAACCTCCATCCCACTCTTGTTATGACTCCACAGTGTCCAGACTGGTTTGTGCATGAACTGAAATAAAACCATCCCACGGTATCCAGGGAACAGAAGGCAACTGGGTGCAGGATGTGAGGATGGGTAGGCAGCTTGGGACCAAAAAGAGACCAGAACCATTTCCCAGGGCACTTCCCAGAATTCCCTCACGACTGTGGGCCAGGGACAGAGCCTACGGCTTGAGGAACTCACGAGGAAAGAAGATCTGGTGGAAAGCTCAGGTGGCAGCAGACTTTGACTCCTCTGAGAAACTGCCTCAGAAGCTGCAGCCCCAACTTCTGCTAAGGCCCCTGCCTTCCTCTGGGGCACCTGACCTGCCTCCTGGCCTCCTCCACAAGGCTAAGGGCCCTAGACAATGGTTGCCTTAAGAACAGTGAGCCAGTTTTTCTAGTGATAGTCCTTGGCTGGGGGATAACGGCATGGAAGTGTGTGGTACTGAGGAAGATACCACTCCCCAATGCTGGCCAAGGAAGAATAAGAACTTTGTAATCTAAAAAGCTGGGTGGACATCTGTGGTGGCTCCAGTGGTGTTTCTACTGTGCCAGAGACAGGCAGCCCCCCAGAGAGTCTTCAGGCTGAATGGAAAATCAGCCCCAAAGCCTGAGGTCAGGCCCCTGGGGGCTACCCACAGAGTACTACAGAGCCTCTGGGAGACCACAGCACCCGGCGGCCCTGGCCTGTTCTCCCCACCTCCGTCAGAAGATATTCCAGAAATGCTAGAGGGCAACCAAGGGCTCCAGCGTGGCACATCCCTGCCCAAGGTGCTATGACCATGGTCCGAGTGATGTCTGAGCTGAGATTGCAGTTGAGGTGGGGGATTAGAGAACAGTTCCCAGGCAGATAGTGCTACCTGTAAAGTCTGAAAATGCTCCATTTTTCCATGTAGTGGGAGCAGGTGTCATAAGCCAAAGACATTTTCCCTCACCAGCCTAGGCATGACTAGCTTCTGAAAAACTCCAGGACCCCTCCCCAAACCTCAGTGCCAGCAGAAGGGGCCCATTCATTGTCTCTAACGTGCTTTTCATGTTTCCACCTTCTTGCCTGTGTTCCAGCTGTTCTCCCAACCTGGAAGGCCCTCTCCCCTTAGCAAAGTCCTCCTCATGCTTGGAGAACTTGCTTGGTGTCACCTCCTTCATTGAGCCTTCTCTAACCACTCCGTTCCTCTCCTCCCCCTCCCTCCTCCAACCCTCAATGTATAAATCCCTTCTTGATGTTTATCATTCACAATTTTTGATTGATAGTTATTGATAGTTATCTTTTCATGTGTGTATCTGATCTCACAAGTACACTGTTAACTCTTGGAGGGCAGGGACCACATCTTAGACATCTCTGTATCCCCCAGACTATCTGTAACAGTGCTGGGCACACAGTAGGAGATCAATAAACACTTGTTGATTGTGTCTGTTTTGTTGATTAAAAGGGGCCCAGGCAGGTGTGATTGGAGGGATTTGGGCTAAGGGGAAGGGAGGGTGGAAGCTGGCCTTTCTCCCCACAGGATGCATAGAAAATTCTAGACTTTACTGGAAACAGAAAGCATGACAACTCCCCTCCCCACAAAATGCTACCTCTTCATCTTAACCAGGGCTCTTCTCTTTTCCAAACAATTATTTCATTTATTTGCTAAATGATTATGTATGTATTCCTTTCTTTCTCTGAACCACTACTATGAGGAAGATGAATGAGTTCTGATCATGTCCATTGGGCAGATGGGGAAACTAAAGCCCACACAAGTGAAGAAATTTTTCCAGGGCCACACAGCTGGTGTTAGTACCCCAGTCTCCTGACTCCCAAAGTAAGACCCTGCTGATTCAATATTACGGCCAACAGGAAGAGCCTTCCAGAGGTCCCAAAGCTGCACGAGGAAAATAACTATGGCCAGCCAGGTAACAGTGAGGGGACAGGCTCTCCTGGTCTTCCATGAGGGTGATCTGGGAGAGCAGGACCAATTCATCAAGTGCACCACCTAGAACCGCCCCTCCTGCCATGCTGGCCAGCGTGGGCCCAGTTAGCTGCCTTACCAGGGGGATGTCAGGCTTACATTTGATTAAGACATAATATCTAAGTTCAAATTCTCCTAACTCTGGGGGTGTGGAGTTTAGGAGGCCAATGATTTGGCCCTGTTCTAACTATTCCCTTCGGCCTATTGAGCAAGAAAAGCTTTGCTCTAGTTTCCTAGAAATGTTCCTGAGTACTGCCGGGGTCCAAGGCAAACATCTTTCAGCTCACCGCGTTACCTTCTCTCATAAAATAATTTAGATTAGCCATAGACCTAGGAAATAGTGAAGGCCGTTGTGTTTGTGCCCCAGCCTCATGGCTCTCATTGGGAATTAACAAAGCCTCGTTCATAAGGGTGTTAGCTGTGGCAACAGTGACAATAATGGGGCCTTGCAAGATTCAGCTTAACCAGGCCCTACACCTAGAGGGTCTCAGCACATAGGAACTTATTAAATCAGACACTACCCTTGCACTTCCTTGGTGCAGACGCTAGAACCTCAGTATTCAAGCCAATTTAGAGGGAATGGCAGCAGGTGGGAATAAGGACTGAGAGAGGGCTCTCTGGAAAGAAACTTAACAAGAGGTCATGTCTCTGGTCTGACACCAGGAATCCCGGAGCCCTTGACTGGAAGCCACTGGAGGTTGGAAGACAGGGTTGCCTTGCTGACCCCTAGAGCTCTGGTAACCCACTGCTGGGTGATCATTAGTAGGAGCGGAAAGACTGAAGTGGGCAGCAGTATAGTGTGGGCTCTGATGACTACCACCTGGCAGCCAAAGCACTTTCAGATCCACCAATTTCACTGTATCCTCCAAATACCCCAATGAAGCAGGTCTTTTACAGGGGACAAAATGGAGGCCCAGAGTAGTTGGTAAAATCCTCCAAGTCAGAGTGTCAGAGTGTGAGCATAAGCTTGGAAACTCTTCCCACAACATTGTGGGTCCAGGATTCCGGTCTCAGAAAATATATGAAGGCCCATCGCTCTTCATACTCCTGCAGCCTCTGTGTCCCTGTCTGCCACTGGAATATGAGGGCCTTTGAGAAAAACAGGGCACAGAGCTTCTCTTCCTCTTAGGATGAGGCTGGCCTGGGGGATCCTTCTACTTTTGTTAATCTGGGTAGTTTCAAGGGAAGGAGTAGGAGTTAGAAGTTTATCCTCAACTAGAAAAACCAGGGAACACCTGACAAAGAGCAACTATTCCCTTTGTCTGGTTGAGCAAGAAAAGGTTTGCTCTAGTTTCCTAGAAATCTTCCTGAGTCCTGCCTGGGTTCAAGGTGAACACCTTTCAGCTCACCCCATTACCTTCCCTCATAAAGTAATTTAGATTAGCCATAGACCTAGGGGATAGTGAAGGCCATTGTGTTTGCGCCCCGGCCTCATGGCTCCGACCCTTGCACAAGGAGAGATGTTTCTGCCCTCCCTCGTTCCTCTGATAATAATGTGACTCATGCTTTTTACCCCCTGGAGCCCTGGTAACCCACTGCTAGGTGATCATTAGTGGGGGCGGAAAGACTGAAACTGGCTTCTTAGTGGAAAGGCGAGTTCCAAGTTTCCGAGAGACCTTCATCCAGCCAGTCAAACGGCCATTACAATAGCCACCTGCCAGCCAGCCAACCCATACTAACTGAACTCTTACTCTGTGTCAGGCAACATGCTAAGGGCTTTGAGGCTGACAAGAGTGAACAAGGTAAAGTCTGTACCTTGTAGGAGTTGACAGCTGATCTAGGGGAGATAAGAAATGCATACCTAACTGCGGTACAAGGCAGAATATGCACTGTCTATGAGAGAGAGGGGGAAAGTGATGTTAAAATAGGGGTGTCAGCGGCTGAGGAAAGGAGTGTAAGTCCCCTTAAGTTCCAATCCATATGAAATGAGGGCCTGGCACTAATTGAGCTTCTAGGGGAAGGATGATTGAAAGGAACTGCCTTCTGAAGCTGAAGGACTATGGGAAATTGAGAAATATGGTGGAGGGCTGTACTAAGGAGGTAACAGGGATATACTGCACATCTAACCCAGAATCCTTTTGAGTTTGCCTTACAGGACTCCTAAGTGGCTCTAAGACAGAGAGTGACACAGGGGCTCAGTCTCTCCTCCCACATCTCCTTCCCTTGGGCAGGTCTCCAGAACTCGCTGAGGGCAGCAGAGGCAGTGCCCATCCAGGTAGCCGGGGGCCTCCTGGCTCTGGCCTGGAGGAGAATCATAGGCGTGGGAGAAGGAGAGGGAGAGTAGGGCCTAGTGCTAAAAGGCAAGCAAATGAGGCCTTGCAGGGTCAACTGTTCCCTCCCACTCAGCCTTGGGTCCTTGGACAAGTGATTCTTTCGTGCCTGCAGCTGCCCACTCAGGGACACAAAGGTCCCAGGTTGGGAAGCACATGTGCTCCTCAGCTGGCTGAAGACTGGCTTTCGCCCAGACTGGTCTCCTTGCCCAAGCGGTTCCTGGCTTTGATGAGAAATTCTGTTATCTCAAGAGGAAAAAGAACCTCAAACAGGAAGTCCAGCAGGTTATCTCTCTCTTCTGCCCTAAGAGGTGGCTCACTATATGCTGTGATGTGATCACTGATAAAATATTAACAGGCCGTTATCAGACACAGTGATAGAGGCTGTAATCTGACCACCTCCTCCCACCCATAACCCACCACTTTCCTGGGAATTGCAGCTCAGGGATACCTAGTTAACTCTCACCTACAATTCCCTGCTCCAGGCCTCAATGCTCCTGAAGACAAGCAGGAAGCCACCTTGCAACGGCACATCATCAGGTCCCTTTTAGGAGGGAGCTGTTGCTATCCTGTCCTCCTTGAAGTCCCATTCTTCCAGAAAGGTAGCCACCTTCTGGTGACTTTGAAGAACTTTGTTTGCAAATACTTATGACTTTGTGGAGGTAACACTGAGAATGCTCACATGCTTTTAAAAAGGTAGCAGCGAGTACAATGGGATGTGAAATGAGCTGCCAAATGAGTAGTGTGGCAGGCAACCCAGCATTTGAGTGGTTGCTCCTATTCTCCAACAGCACTTTCAAAGTCTAATATTTGACAAAGTTCTGTGGGGGAGAAAGGCCAGTTACACCAAAGGTACAAAGAGAATATGCTCTTTGCAGCCTCTTCACCTGAATTTGTTTCTGGAATTACCCAATGGGATGCAAGACGATGGATCAGCATCCCCACAAGGGATGTCTGATGCTATTGTGAAGATCCTTCTCCCTTGGTTTAAAGGCATGGAATGCCTTGATTTAAAAGCAAGTATGTTTTCTGGGAAGAGAAAGACATTCAGCCACAGGTCAGATATTAACACCAGAATTTGCCCCAGTTTCTCAGTTTAGCCCTAAAAGGAGCCAGAAGAGGAATCCAATGACTTTTAAAAATAGAACAATTCAGAGAAAATGGACTTGGGAATTTAGGGGATCAGAGGACTTTCCTGAATAACACACTTTTCAACTAAATGATTAAAAAATGGAGATGAGGTAGAAATCAAGAAAAAGGCAGACAGGATGAGAAAGGTGTGCCATCTTCCTCTTAGCAATTTCAGAGGCACCTCATATGGTTAATTTTACTCCTCTGTGTGTAATAATAAACCAATATGTTCTCAAGTGTCACTTTTTCCCCAAGAGACTTGTCCAACTCAGCACTGTCTGGGGAGGGGAGGAGTCAAGGCAGCCAGCGAGAACGAACACCCATGGGCAGAGGACAACAAGTCCAGGACCTCCTGGAGTGTAAGAATAGGATCTTGATGACTGCTTTGTTATCAGGAAAGCTGCCAAGCAACAGCCCTAAGTGAAAAACCCAGTCAAGAGGAAATGAATTTCCACGTTCTTTGGAGGGATATTTGTTACATAAGTGAACAATTTCCTGATCATGAGGGCAGTTAAACATTGTGTGGGTTCATGGAACTTTCTTCCTTGGAAATTCCTATTAATGTGGGCTAGTTTTAGCATTTTCCCATAAAAAGGAAGAAGAGGAGACTAATAATTTTCAAGACAGGCAATACGGTGTAATCAGCAGAGAGCTTGGCCTCTGGAGTTGGACACATCTGGGTTTGGATTTTGCCTCCGCACTCTCTAACTGGGTGGCCTTGGGAAAACCACTTCAATTCTCTACACTTTAGTTTTCTCATCTATAAAATGAGGATGACACCTGCCTCTCAGTGTGGTCATGGTGTACAGTAGGTCCTAACAAATGGTTAACTGTTATTACCTAAGTATATTTATTGGTGATCTAAAGGGTAGGGTCAAAGTCACACCAAAATATATATCTTTGAAGGATGGGGGCAGACAACAAAGTATATTTTATATAACAGATTTGAATCTATGTTAGCAAGGGATAGTCTTTCCCAGGCCAAAACGTCTCAATATTCTTCCCAAATGTCTAAATACCTTGAAGACCTCAGATAGGCTCCCGCTCATAAGATTCTGCTAACAGAAACCAGGGGAAAAGCAGACTTGAGACGCTGGAGAGGAAAGAGATGGTGGTGATGGCTCTTTTACCTTCATCCAGACCTGTGGAAATCTGGGGTAGAACAGAACCATGATTACCCAGGTCCCATTGCTAGAGGAAAAAAAAAAGCCCAGTCTAAGGCAACTACAGACGGGGTGGGGTTAATGTTCCAAATTCAGGGACCATTGGGGAGATTTCAATAGCCACTTTCTACTGTTAAGCAGATTTAGTATAGGCTCCATTATGTTCCTTATACTTCAAATTGGATAATTTACTCTTGGGTATTCCTATATTTGCCCCTACTCACTTCTGTAACTTTGCTTACCTGGGAAACCCTACTCACACAACTCCACCTTCCAGTTTCCAGGGCCTATCTGGAAGACCAAACCTCCTGGGAACACTTTCCTGAGCCTCTGCCGAAAGTCATCTTGCCTGCCCCTGACCACACAATGGGCAGATTTATAGAAAGTATTTGGTATGCAGAGAGTATCCAAAACATTTCCACTATTTTATCTAAAAGTGGGTTGGGGATTTCTGGTGATGAACACCAAAACTTTGGGCTTAGGGATGGAGGCGAGTAACAAAATAAATTGCTTTTGCAGATTTTATTTTTCATTAGAAAATGAATGCTATTTATGTCTCAATGACTAAAGCTTTCATATACACAAGACTATCTGATTCAGCTCTTTTTTCAATTATTTAGTTTATTAATCCAAACATGTGCCTTACATTTTGATTTGGAAAGTAGTTCCTGAATGTCCTCTCTCTGCTTAATATGTCATGAGTTAGGGATGTCCTTGTCATGAAGCATAAGTCATTCTTTTGGGAAAATTACACTTGACTTAGCCTGAGCACACACCAGCACTCCTGAGTAGACCCCCATGTTTCACCCCTAATAAAATACTACAGAAAAGGGTTTTAATTCATAGTACAGAATCCTAAAGAATTCTACCTGGAAAATTGCATGTGAGAACTAAGAGCTTGCTAATTAAGCCTCTGCTTAGATTAACCCTTAGCTCAGATGATTTGCAATCACTGAACCTGGATAAGCAAATCTTCTTGTCCCCTGGGGCCACAAGGTGTTTGGCCTAGTCCTCTGGCAGTGCCCATTCGTTCATCTGACAAGCATGTACTGACCTCTTAACACGTGCCCAGAACTTGTTTCCTTGAGACTTGTTTTGTCTGTCCTCTTTCTTCTCTTGACATAAACTATCAACACTCTCAGAAAAAGTGAACAGAAGCCTTCTCAGAATTTTTTCTCCTTTTAGTTTTCACTCTCAAAATCTGGTCTCTACAGCCTTCTCTTGGTTATATTTTGTCGTTCTCAGTATTTAAAAATTGCATGTGGCTCATGCCCATAATCCCAGCACTTTGGGAGGCAAAGGCAGGAGGATCGCTTGAGGCCAAGAGTTTGAGCCAGCCTGGAAAACAGAACGAGAACCCCCCTCTACAAAAAATGCACGCTAGGGAGCCTCCTTTAGATAATATTCAGAATATGTGTAGTAAGGATTGGCTATATTCCCTTTCTCCTTTGGTAGCCTTTTTATCTATTCATATCAAAGATCAGCTAAAGAGAAACAATAGGCCACTGCAGCTCACAATGATGGCCCCTTATAACCTGTAGCATGTATTGTCTCAGTATTTCATTTCCCAAGTTTAATGTCCAGGATTCTTATATCCCTCACTCATACTGTATTTATCCAACCACTTCTATAAACAACGCAGTGTTTTAGGCTCCAGAGGTAGATGAAGATATGAACAAAACACACTTCCCATCGTTTACTCATTCATTAACAATCAATTGTTGGATACTTACTATATCCCAGGTACTATGATAAGCTCTAGAATAAAGTGGCTGGCAAAAACATGCATGACCCTTCCCCCTCATGGAACTTATTAGTGAAGGAGGCAGACAGAAAGCATGTGTGTTGCATTTATCACTGTATATCATATAGCACATAGTAGGTAGCCAATAAATACCTGTTAAGTGCAGGTAAATGACCAAATATATAACTATAAATTGTGAAAAGTGCTATGAATTGAAGAAAACAGGAAACAGTGAAAGAATGAAAGGGTAGATAGAGACAAAAGGCTGCCAGGGAAGGCCTGTCTGAGGAAGGGACACTTACACTAAGACCTGAAGGATGATGATAGTCAGCCATGCCAAGACTAGAGATAGGAGCACTACAGAGGAGGGAGCAGTATGGGTAAGGAGTGTTCTGCAGTCAGGTGCAGTGGCTCATGCCTGTAATCCTAGCACTCTGGGAGGCCAAGACTGGAGGATCACTTGAGCTCAGAAGTTCGAGGCCAGCCTGAGCAAGGCCGAGACGAGATCTCTACAAAAAAATAGAAAAATTAGCTGGGTGCCATGGTGTGTACCTGTAGTACCAGCTACTTGGGAGGCTGAAGCAGGAGGATTGCTTGAGTCCAGGAGTTTGAGGCTACAGTGAGCTATGATGATGCGCCACTGCATTCTAGCCCAGACAATAGAGTGAGACTCTGTCTAAAAAAAAAAAAAAAAAAGTGTTCCAAGAGTAGCAACAGAAGGGGTAAAGGCTCTGAGGTAAGTAAGAGCTTGACATGTTTCAGTAGGAAAACCACAGTGAGCCAGGGGGAAAATGGTATATGATTAAGAGTCGCATGAGACAAAGTAGAAGTAGGCAGGGGCCTTGTAGGATGTTGGATTTTATTTTAAGAGCAATGAAAAGTCATTTAAGGGCTTTAAACAGAGGTATCACATGATCTGATTTGTATTATTTTAAAAAATCACTGTCTGTAGTTATATGGCAATTGTGAGAACAAGAGTGAGTACAAGGACTCCATTAGGAGTTATAAAAATCCAGGGGAGATGATGGCAGTTTGGACTTTGAAGATAGAACTGACAGACTTGTTGACAGGCTGGATGTGGGGGAGAGAAAAGGAAAATTAAGGATGACTTCCAGGTTTCTAGCTTAAGCAACTGGGTGGGTGGAGGTGCCATTTTCTAAGACAAGTAAAACTGGGGAGCGGGAGGGACAGTCCCATGATATGCCACTGTTTATTTTTAACATGTTTTATTTGAAATGCTAGTGAGACATGTAAGTGTAAATGTCAAGCAGGCAGTTGAATATCTGAACCTGGAGTTTTCTAATAGGGAAGACGGTACAAGGAAGTTTGTGATAAGAGCCTTACAAATGACAAAACCTAAGTGTTGAAAGAGAAATATCATGTTTAGCTGAGTTAATCAGAGGAATTTGCAGAAAAAAGTTGGCATTTGAGCCAAAGGAAAGATGATGAGGGAAAACATTCCAGGCAAAGGGAATGAAATGGTAAATGTGAAAGAGAAAAAATATATATGTTTTTAAATCTTCTGTAGAGACAGGGGGTCTCACTATGTTGCCCAGGATGGTCTCAACAGCTCCTCCCACCCCAACTTCACAAAGTGCTGGGATTATAGGCATGAGCCACCATGCCCAGCAGAAAATCTTAAGATGTGTTCAGAAACTGAAAAATAATTTAGTTTGGATGGAATGTGGCTTGTGCTTGGAATGTTGCAAAATGAGTCTAGAAAGGGAGGTTGAGGCCAGATCATAAAGGCCTATGCACACCATGATGAGGAATTTGTATGGCATTTGGTGGGCAATTGGGAACACTAGCAAGTCTTTGAGCAGAGGCATAACCTGATGAAATTGTTAAGCACAACTTAGTGATGTGGACTAAGATGGATTAAGAAGGGAGAATAGGAGGGAGGGAGGCCATGAGGCCATTTAATTTAAATAATTTAACACAATGACTACCACACTAGAAAAAAATTTTTTTTCCTTGGGCCCACTGTGTTTTATCATGAAAATAGAATAAAACTTCAAAAACAAAATGATCCTTCCTAATTTAATGAAAAATTTATTTTTTATTGTTTTCTGTGAGTTATATGCAATTAAATTGTCAATATTAATTGTAACAATAAGAACATCAACAAGTAAGATTTTCATTAACCAACTGCAGGGTTTTGCCCAGGGGGCCACCCATCACATAACATGTATGCTACAGTATGGTAGTGTGAGCTGCCTGCACACCAGGTGGCTCCCAAAGTAAAGAGAAGTATGAGTTACATATGCTTCACGAGGCCCTGGGCTCAAAACTAGAATGAGTTAAATACAATTCACATGGCAGTCTATGTGTTCAATTTAAATAATTTTATTTAAATGATCAAGGCGTGAGGTAATAAGGATGTAAATGTTGATAATGGCAATAGAAACTTAAAAGGCAAATGTGAGAGATATTTGGAAGGAGAATTATGATTATGTTAACCTAACAGGAAAGCTAGGAGGAGACACCTGCTTTTTTCTTCTCAATGTCTTTTGCCTCCACACTAGATCATAAACTGGAAAGGCTGGGAGACACTTTTCAACTTTCCGCAGTGGTATTTAACACTAGTCAAAGAGACCTCACGCTGGTATGGTTTCATAGTAAATAGGTAACAAAGAGGTAGCTCTGGTATTGAAGTGAATGGACTCACACAGGTAGCTGGTGCTTGTACAAGCAGTGTGGGGTCAGCACCACAGGCTGAGAGTAAGCACTACCAAAGGTAAGTTAAATTTCTTCCACCTTTTTCCTTTTAAAGACTAACTGCCTCTTCTTTCTACTCTGCCCCCTTGCTCATTCAACGCTCACTCATGCAGGCTGAACCTTCAGTGCTCTGAAGTTTTCTCTCCACCAGACTCCCATCCACATTATTCATCTCTGTGCACAGTTCCACCCTCACGGACCCCATCTGATAAACAAGCATCACCGAGAGAATGGCTGAATATGCTCCCCTTCTCTCAGTAGTATTTACATTTAGAAAATTGGGGCCTTGACTATCGTAATCCAAATGTCTTAACAAGAAAATTAATCATGTGACAAGCTAGAGCTGGGGGAGGTGGAGCGTAATGGGGTAGGGGATATTGTTAAGTACTCATTCTGATGGTGAAGCCTGGCTCTGGCCTCCCCTTATTCCTGCAGTCTCACTGGGGTATCTATGATGGACCTCCTTTCAAAGGAGGTAAAGTACGTTTGGGAAAGTCTCTGGAGTACCTCTGCAAAGGAGAGACAGAATGACTATCCAAAACATTTCCTCTGGACTAGCTAGTCCTTTTACCATTGCTTGATCCCACCTGCCTTTTATTGTTTCTCCTCTGCTTCCTATTTTTTACTGTTGGTATATTTTTATGTGTTAATTGTTCAACGTCTTTTGAAGAGTACCTTGAACTCGTTGGAGAGTATGTGCTACATAAAAATAATAAAGCAATGAATAAATAAAATGTCTCCTTTTATAAGAGTATAAGTTATACTATTTCTGATAGTATGATGTCTACCCCTCACTATCCTAGCCTGAAAAGGCAAGTAGGTGTATTCTGAGGGACATCAGAGAGACAATCTTGCTCTAAAATACTTCCACTATACCTGAAATTCTACAATTTTATGATACATATTTTCAAAATTTAAGCCTTGAAGTTTTTCCCCCCAAGAATCCCTTATTAAAATGCAAATGCCAAGGGGGGTGGGTAGTAGATGGGTCATGATTTAACCTTAGTTCCCTTTACATTACCCCACCACTCCTACCAAATGCATTTTTCACATTCCAAATTTTCCTGAGCCTTTGTTTATGCTGTTCTTCCAGAGGTAATGCTAACGGTAACATAAATTACAAATATAACATTACCTTATATTTTCACAAGTCTCTCATTTGATGTCCAAATCCAAGCCTACTCAATATTTTTTAAAACAATTTATTTTTTCCAATGTAAGAAGAACAACAAGTTTATTAGAGAAAATTTGAAAAAGGCAGGAAGATAGGAAGAAGAAAAAAACATCAACCATAGTCCTACCACCTAAAGAACACTCCTTAAAACAGTGTGGTCATGCTCATTCTTTAAACCTCAATTTAGGTCCTATTTCTGGTGTGATGCCTTCCTTGAAATTCCCCTGATCCAAGATCTCCTCTGTCATGTTTGTACCACTCTTTGTACATATCAGACATTTCTGTGTATAGTTAACTTGGTACATGTTCTATATTTCCAACTAGATTGCTAGATCTTTGAAGGCTGAAACCATTGAATTACACTTCTTGGCTTATCCCAAAACACCTGGTACATTGGACCCAGTATTTGCTGACTGATTTAACCTAAATGAATACAAACCATTTCAGAAAGGATATGAAATAGGCCAAGTATCTAGGTCATGAAAATTATAGCTTTTGGGTCACCTAGCTTGGTGACTATTGCTTTTCTGTTCCTAGACTCTTGAAAGCCTATTTAACTGGCCTCTTTCTCCATACCAAAACTGAGTAAGAAACAGACTGATTAAGAGCCAGGATTTACATGAAGAATCTCTATATAAGGCATAAAGGTGAGAGAGAGAGAGGGAGGTGTGGGGGGGGTCGGAGAAGAGAAGAGAAGAGAAGAGAAGAGAAGAGAAGAGAAGAGAAGAGAAGAGAAGAGAAGAGAAGAGAAGAGAAGAGAAGAGAAGAGAAGAGAAGAGAAGAGAAGAGAAGAGAAGAGAAGAGGAGGGTAGAGGAGGGTAGAGAAGAGAAGGTACAGAAGAGTCTATAGAGTCTGGTGCTCAGTCCAGAATGTGATTTGCCTCCAGCACTGTGTACAGGATCCCATCCACTTGTTCTGAGTCATACCCGATCTCTCGAAGCTCCAAGTGAGGGAGGACAGAAGTAAGGAGATAGCTGACGTGGATACGCAGCCGCGTAAGCTGTGCCAAAGCCCTGTATGATGGAGTGAGGGGGCAGGAGAAGAGATGACATGAAGTCATTAGCCAACAGAATAAAATGAAGCCCCTTCATATTGGGCCTATATCTCTCAACAATTATGTTTCCATTAGCTGGAAAGAAAGAAGAAAGCACAATGCCACCAAGCACAGGGAGACTGTCTGTAGCTTTCTAAGAAGTAATTACTCAGTCCTTGGTGGCCTATGAATTAAGGCTTCCTCCCTTGTCTAACAGTAACATAAATTACAAATATAACATTACCTTATATTTTCACAAGTCTCTCATTTGATATCCAAATCCAAGCCTACTCGATATTTTTTTAAAACAATTTATTTTTTCCAATGTAAGAAGAACAAGAAGTTTATTAGAGAAAATAATAGTAACTAGTAACTGGGGGTCCTAAGGGATGATTCCCATTAGCACTCACAAGCTGATAACTAAACCCTAGTAATTAACCTTTCTAGGTCATCTCCCTCTGGGGTCCGATAGGAGACCTGAGCCTTCTGCAGCATTTCCAGGTGTGTCTCTGTCTCCTTCAGTTTCTCTTTTAATTCTTGCTTTTCCTCTTTGGTTCTTTCTAGCTCAGCTTTCAGAATCTGGAATTCAGCTTGGCGATAACCCATGTGTTTCTTGCTCCAATATAAGCCTTCCGTCTCCTGTGTACTGTAGGTCACCAATTCATGTTGGACTTTCTTGAATTCAGAATGCCAGTGATTCCTCTCCTGTTCTAACTCCTCCACCTGCAGGCCAAGAAACAGAAATTCAATGACCCCACACACTACTGACAGCTAAAGAGACTGCCAAAAACTCTTCTTAATATAATCACCCTGTGATTCCACTATACATACTCCTTTACTTATGGACCTTTTGAATCCCGAAATATGGGAAAGAAGCCTATTATGGTTCATCCCATCTGAAATACACCACAGAATAGTTCAATGAACTGTTTAAAGGCCTCACAACATGAAATCATTAGAGCCCCAATGTCCCAGTCCCTTGGTTACAATGATCTCTTATCCCCAGTAAGGTATTGCCTTAACCTTTTGCTGCAACAAATTCCTTTCGGCCAAAACACGTTCCAATTTTTCTGTAGTTCTCTTCAATTCTTCCAGCTCTCTCTGGTTCTCCACCTTCGATGTATTACGACCTCCACTCTCCTCATAGCCTCTTCCTTTCTCTCCAATGGCTGCAGCAGGGACTGCAGCAGAGGCCACAGAAGAATAAGGCCCTGGGTTCCAGGACTCAACTGCTTTTCGCCTCTCAGCAAGATCCTCTCTGTTAAAAGGGATAAGCTGAATGGGAGCTCCTGAATCTTTAACACCTTTGGCAACACCGACAATAGCTACAAAAGGTCCCTTGTTCACTTCTTCTTTGTTTATGTTTGTGCTACCTCTGTTAGATTCTTCTGCTACTAATCTTGGCATCTGATCTTCTAATTCTTCAGGAAGCAAGGACCCTTGGTGTTGGTCTTGGGCCCCTGGATACAGAACTGGAACATCCCTACTCTGACCTGTACTCTTGTTTGCTTCTGGGTATTCTGGGAAAAGGTACGGTGGTGTACTTCTCTCAGAACTGGATTTATCATGGCTGTTCTCCCCTTCTGGGTAGGCAACAGCTGCCTCTACCCTCTTGTAAGGACCAGGCATGGAATAATTTAAAGGAGGTATTATCAGCTCATTCTGCAGCCTTCTTCGTTTCTCCGCAGGTTCCTCGCCTAGGAGCCATTTGTACTTACTGCAAGAAGAGGAAATTAAATTGTAAGCTATCACAATACAGGCTAATTACATTCTTAGCCTATGGAACTCCTCCTCAAATTTCCCATATTAAAATTGCCTCTAGATGTTACCCACAGATCATTTCAGGTTAGGAATAAAACTTTACCCCCAAGCCTCAACCCCTTTGCTCATGCAATTGGCTGAGTTAGCAACTGATGTTAAGGGAGAGGTGAAGTTGATAGGTGTGTAGGGGGCCAGCATCTGGATATAGCAGGACTAGGTTTACCTTGATAAGAATTCTAAAAATAAGATTCAAACCAACCCGAGTTAGATGTTTCCTAAATGTGCAAGTAAAGGAAGACAAACAACACACACACAAAATCCCCTAATTTAAGAATGAGATTAAAAGGTCATAAAAAGTCTAGTGGAGTATGCAGAGAATAGAGCCAGCTTGTTAATTTTACAGCGTCACAAAAATTTTCCAGTATCAAGGACTTAAATACACACTTTTTATATTGCAGCACAGCACCATACAATTCCTTTGCCAGCCTGCTGGATTGTGGCTATTGCCCATTATTCACTTGTAAAAGTTAATTAAAACACAGGGCCCTAGTCAGAAACAAAGAAAGTAAATTGGCCAATTTAAGTCATTTCCCTTTGTGACCAAAGAACTCCCAGGGCTCAGGCACAAGCCGGCACTCTCTCTGTTCTTCAGGATAGCCCAGGGTGATGGCCTCAAATCACCTTCCATTTTTGGCTGCTATATGCACTAATGGTTGAAGGAACTAACAAAATAACTGTCACCAGAGAAATCCATAGGCAATTTTATATTACACAGTAGGATGGGAACCCTATTTTAACCTTATAACTAACTATTCTGCCCTCTCTCTGGATAACAAAGAAATTTCAAGGTAAAAATCAACTTTCAAACTTTCAATGAGAAAGAGTCAGGCATATTAGTAGCCCCCTCATAGTACCTCAAGCTGTCCGTATTTCTCTGCAATTTCTGAGAAGACAAATCAAACCTTAACTTCTTATAATGCCCCATGTGTCCTTCAGAAATACAACTGGTCTGAACAACGTGTTGTGTTGGCCTCAGGAGAAAAGCAAAAGGACTTAGGGGCTAGGTAAGAACAAATATATTCATCTTTAAACATGTATAAGGGCACTATAGATAGTCCATTTAGCTGTGGTACCAAGGAAGATAGTAAAACAATAAGTTGGCAGTTATGAAAGAAAGGGATATAATACTAGATATCAACAACAAAGTTTTATGAAAGGCAATTAAAGTCATATTATTTGCCTTCTCTTCATTTTCCCACCTCTGAGGGTTCTGTCCTTAACTATCTTCTCTTCCGGCCCTGTGTTTCTTCTCTTTGGTAATCTCATACAAACTTTTGGCTACAACCTCTGGACAACAATTCCCACTTTCTCCCAAGCCCTGACTTCCAGTACTAAATTTCTAACTGCCTGTCAACACATTTCTTCCTGGAGGTCCACTGGTATCTCAAACTCGGTATGTATAGAGCCAATCTTTCAATTTGCCCTTCAAATACGCTCCCTCTCCTGTTTCCTATATGTGTTACAACACCAGCAAACTGTTAGTAATTTTTATACAGTTTTATATAGTAATTTTATATGTTATCAATAGTCAAATTTAAGCTCTCATTATCTCTCCTGGACTATTGCAATGGCTTCCTCCACTCTCTGTCTCCCCTTCTCTCACCTCCAGATCACTCACTGCCAAGTTAATTTTCCTAAAAGCATTGCTCTGATTATGGTACTCTTTGATTTGAAATGTATTGCTCTCCAAAAATAAAAGCTCATATGTCTTAGCTTGGCATTCAAACTTTTCCATGTGAAAACATAGGAAACATTTATTGAGCACTTACTGTGTGCCAGACAGCATGGGACATGCTTAATGCGTACTGTCTCATCTAATTCTCCCAATAACCCTGAAGTAGGTGGTATTAATATATCCACTATTTTAAGAGGATGCTCAGGAAGTGGTTAAGTAACATGTCAATATAGCTAGTAAGGGCCGGGCGCGGTGGCTCACGCTTGTAATCCTAGCACTCTGGGAGGCCGAGGTGGGCGGATTGCTCAAGGTCAGGAGTTCAAAACCAGCCTGAGCGAGACCCCGTCTCTACTATAAAAAATAGAAAGAAATTAATTGGCCAACTAATATATATATATATATATAAATTAGCCGGGCATGGTGGCTCGTGCCTGTAGTCCCAGCAACTCGGGAGGCTGAGGCAGTAGGATTGCTTAAGCCCAGGAGTTTGAGGTTGCTGTGAGCTAGGCTGACGCCATGGCACTCACTCTAACCTAGGCAAGAAAGCGAGACTCTGTCTCAAAAAAAAAAAAAAAAATATATATATATATATAGCTAGTAAGTAGCAGAGCTGGGACATAATTTAACCCTAGCTTTATCTCTCATTATTCCCTTCACAAACACCAAACTAGATGCCCTATGATTTCTTATGATGCTCCTTTTGACTGGAATCCCCTTCTCTTCCCTAACACTGCATGTCTAAATTCCTATAGCACTTCAGCACTCTCTTATGACATGCATCACTTTGTACCCTATGTGTGTGTGTGTGTGTCTTAAAGCGCCTTATAAAAGTATAAGGTCCTTGACAGAAGGCAGCTTAACTAACTGCTAGATGAGGATGAGGAAACAAAATGTTCACGTAAGAGACAATCAAAAAAGAAGCATTATGTGAATGAGAGAAAATAAGCAGATTTTACTTATTGGTTCTATACTTCTCCAGAGAGTTTGGCTCTTCCCTCTAACAGCTGATTCTCAGACCAGATTTGTACTCACTCATTTAGTAAAGATTAATTAGGAGTTCTCCATAATAGGAATTCTTTTTCCAACTACATAGTTTCTTCTCATTTCTTTTTGCTCTGTCATATTCCTCCACTGTCTGTCACTTTATAGGTGGATTTTGAATTTTCTTTTAGGTATTTTACATTTTCTCAAAACATACACGTATACCATGCTTCTGCTCCTTCAAAATGCTTTTTGAGAGGTTTCTATATTTGACCATATCAGTTTAGTATTTCACTAACCAAGACAGAGAATGTTGTACTCAAATTAGGATATTTCATTATTTTTTTACTCACTCATTCCACAGATGTTGTCTGCTATGTTTAAGTCATGAATAAGGACCAAAAAACATGGTCCGTTTTACAGTGCATATATACTTCATATGATACATTTTTAAACATCTTTGTTGAAATAAAATGACAAAGTGTATAATTCAGTGGTTTTAGTATCCTCACAGAGTTGTGTAACCATCACCACAATCTGTTTAGAAAATTTGCATCATCCTTAAAGAAACCTGCTACCCATTAGTAGTCACTTTCTATGCCTCCACATACCTCTCTATGCAACCACTAATCTACTTTCTGTCCCTATAGATTTGCCTATTCTAGGCATTTCATATAAATGTAATCATGGAATATGTAGTCTTCTGTATCTGCCTTCTTTCCCTTAATATAATGTTTACAAGGTTCATCCACATTGTAGCATGTTATCAGTATTTCATTCCTTTCTATAGTTGAATAATATTCCATTGTACAGATACACCACATTTTACTTACCCATTCATCAGCTGATGGACATTTAGGTTGCTTCCACTTTTTGACTACTGTGAATAATGCTGCTATAAACATTTGTATACAAGTTTTTATATGAATATATGTTTTTAGTTTTCTTGGGTATAATATTAGTAGTGGAATTACTGGATCATGCAGTAACTGTTTAATGTTTTGTGAACTGCCAGACTGTTTTCCAAAGCAGCTGTAACACTTTGCGTTTATACCAGCCATGCACGAGGGTTCCAATTTTGCCACATCCTCATTGGAACTGTTTATTGTCCATCTTTTTGATTACAGCCATCCTAGTGGGTGTAAAATAGCAGCTGTGATTTGCATTTCCTTAATGGCTAGTGATGTTGAGTATCTTTTCATGTACTTATTGGTCATTTGTTTATTTTCTATAATGATGTTTTTAGACAGATCCTTTATTTTTTCTTAAAAAAATATTTTCTATTTTCTATTTTATTTTCTTTTTTTTCACACATCATCATCTTATGTTTCTAAATAGACAGATCCTTTATATATTTTTAATAGGGTTGTCTTTTTATTAGTGAGTTGTAATAGTTTCTATATATTCTAGATACTGATCCCTTATCAAATCTAATATTTCCAAAGTTATTCTCCCATCCTGTGGGTGGTCTTTTCATTTTCTTGATAGTGTCCTTTGTAGCTCTAACATTTTTAATTTTTATGCAGGCCAATTTAACTCTTTTTTTTTTTTTTTGAGATAGGGTCTTGCTCTGTTGCCCAGCTTAGAGCATAGTGGTTATCATCATAGCTTACTGCAAATTTAAACTCCTGGGCTCAAGTGATCTACCCACCTCAGCCTCCCAAAGTGCTAGGATTATAGGCATGAGCCACTAACTATGGCTGGCCCAAGATATGACCCCTTAGTGTCATATCTAAGAAACTACAGCATAATCCAAGGTCACAAAGATATACTCCCATGTTTTCTCTAAGATTTTTATAGTTCTATTTCTTACATTTAGATCTGTAAGTCATTTGGAGTTAAATTTTGTGTATAGAGTGAAGTGGGGACTCAATTTTATTTTATTGCATGTGGATATCTAGTTGTCCCGGTACCATTTACTCAAAAGACTTTTCTTGAGCCAGGCATGGGTGACTCACATCTGTAATACTAGCGACAGGAGGATGAGGTACAGGGATCAATTGAGGCCAGGAGTTCAAGACCAACCTAGGCAACATAGCGAGATCTTGTCTGAAAAAAAAAATTTAGCTGGGTGTGGTGTTGCACACCTGCACATCTGTCATCCCAGCTATTCAGAGGGCTGGGGCGGGAGGATCCCTTGAGCCTAGGAGTTTGACACTGCAGTGAGCTATGATCATGCTACTACACTCCAGCCTAAGAGACAAAGCAAGACCCTATCACTAAAAAAAAAAAAAAAAAAA